AAGCCGCCGCAGCTCTTAAGGAGTCGGCTTGAAGGTACAATTATTTTTATTTGCCTTTTTTTATTGATTGATTGATTGGTTATTGGTACTGAAGAGGCTGTGTTAATTGTGAGATTGAAGGTAAGGGTCATTTCTGTAATGCTTTGCGGGATGTCTTAAATATGGAAGGTAGGCCTACGACATTTTTTGTTTTTATTTCTTTATTTTAATTATTTATTTATCTTTACTTGTTGCTAATATCGACCGTCTTGAAATTATTTATTCCCATGGAGATCTTTTCAAGGATTTGTCAAGGATTGGTGTATATTTATTATGATAAATATATATATGGAAGTTGGTGTATATATGTACCATGCAGTATTGCGTAATTGAATGTTCTAAATATAAATATAGTGCTTTAGATGATCCTAAGACTTGTGTTTGGAGCAAATCAGAAGAACTGAATAAAGAGATTATGTATCTCATAATTAACATGATTCATAGCCATATGTCCAAAAATAGAACTGGTTGAATGTTCATGGGGATATATTTCTTAGCTGTTTTTACTTTATTAGGTAAATGTTAGGAACGATCCTGGATTAGTTTTCAAAACAGAGCATTTTTCTCATGATATTATTGGCTGGTTTTAGGTGAAAGCTTACAGGAATTCGCAGTGATCTTTATGGGAAATCCTAGAATCTTTAGTTGACCCAGAAGTGACTGTTGCAAACCATCATTACAGTCGTTGTACCCTCATAGCTCTGGCTAAGGTCAGCTAACCTCTTTTCTTGTATATTCTGTAATGATAGAAATTGGACTGGTTCTATAATTGGAACAATATTACATGTAAAATAGGTCTCCATCTTTTGTTTCACCAGAATATGCAAAGAGTAGTCTTTTCTGGGAAGTTTTGATAGGTATATAGACCATGAATGGATGCATGACTGTCAGTAACATTTACCTTTCAACTGTTTAAGTGCACTAATGTTACCTGTTATAATTAGATTCCTATTATTTTGGTTGCTTTATTAGTATAGATCAGGTATAGAATAAGATTGAATACATTTTTAGTTTTCTGAGTGAAATTATTCAATCCTGTTGGCAACACTTGCAAGCTTATTATAAAAACTTGGATATCAGTATTTCCAAAAGAATACTGTCATTGGGTAGGAAGGCGTCTACTTGCAATAAAATACCAGTATAATCAAAGGTTTTGCAATCAGAATTAGTTAATATGTTAAGGAGTGGCTCATCATCAAATGGCAGTAAAGGATTTTGAGAACCACACAAAGGTGAATTTGGTACATTTTTTATTTTGCATTTAGTCTTTATTTTATTTCAGCCTTCATTTCATGCAATATTTTCTTATTTCCGAGGTAAGTTAATTGTTACAGAGACACCTACCTGTTTGTTTAGAAAGCTTTTCCCCCCGACTCCCATTTCTTCTTCCTTTTATAACCTTTATTTGCTTTTTAGACAACTTATTCTCTTCCAAATTGCTCTCTTTATAGCATCATCCTCTTCGGTACTTTATACGTGCCAGATCTTCATTCAACATATTTGCTCCAGATTTAGAAAAACCTGGTTCCCTTTTGTAAAGTTATAACCCCCTATCCCCATGAACCAACAACCATTGTCGGTCTGGTTCATTTTAGATTCCTGGTGCATCTTTAAAGGATGCTGCTCTTTCCTTGGTGATGTTGATCAAGATTTTATCGTCTGAAAAATTATATATGGGGCTATCCCTCTTCCCCCATTATTCTGTCATACACAAATTTTTATGCTTTAATTTTTAGTATTGTACAGGATACACATTGGTTGAATGTAAACATTCTGGTAGTTTGGTTTTATTCAAGAGTAGTTTTTATGTCAACTTTGTTATGTGCAGGATATTTCATAGATTTTATTTTGAAGGAATGTTTGATACAGAAATATATATTACAATGATCACTTGTTATAATATTATAAAAATAAATATTAAATTTAATAAAATCAGAGAGTTTTATCAGATCAAGTTGTATGAAATCAGAGATAGACATTGTGTAAAGATAATCCATAATACTTGTAATTTGCCAGCTCCATGTTACAGTTCTATAGATATTATGTGTTTTATTATCCTTGGTTTAAAAAGTATATGGACAGGTAAATGTATAGATTATCAAGTATGAATATAAAGGTAAATCAGTAGGGAAATAAAAATATAGAACAAGAAGTAATCCAGATCAGGCCTTTTGTATCAGGATCGTGCCTGTTATGCCGTGTCCAAATGGGAAGGAAACAGATCTCTCTCATTTATTCTTCTTCTCATATATTATTTTTATTGTCAGCTCATATAGAGATTATTATTCTAATGGCATGTCCCATTTTTTTACAGGAATTGCAACAGCCCTTAAGACCTACACCATGAGTTTCTTCGCCAACGTCAAGTTCGAATTACGTATGTTCAAGCTCCTATCCGTTCCCTTGCTGGGCTTCATGGTAGGGTCCTACCTTGACAACCTAGAGACACACAGAATGACCATGTTCAGGTAAGATTGTGTCCTGTGAATGTTGCATAGTGGTTTAATGAAGGTCTTATAAGGTCAGGCCATTACATTTTCAATCTGCTCAATATTATCTTATGGTTCAGATGCAATCATGAGAAATTTTGGCTTGAGGAACAAGTGATATGAACACACTGTCATAGGAAAATTTGGCTGTGGGCAGGGTGATATGAACTTGCCTTCGTGAGCATTTTGGCTGAAGCCTGGAGAGACGGGAATGACTCACCACAAGTTCGCAAAGTTCTTGGAGGGCGGTTAGACACATTTGGCATTTAAGGAGGGGATCTTGCATTATTTCCACTGATAAAGGAGTGTGGAATGTACTGTCCTTGAGCCATGACTTGGAAGAGTGCCAGCTCCAGGAAGGATGATATTTCCGTGCCCAGAATCCTATTGCTATTTCAGCCTTCATTTTGTGCAATATTTTCTTATTTCCTAAATAAGTTAATTTTTATGGAGACACCTACAAGTTTTTTTAGCCACCATGACTGGTGGTGCATCATTATTATTCTTCCTGTTTTTTGTTCTTGCTCTTAGTTATGGACTACCTAGAGAGATGATAAGAGAAACAGTCTATTACCATCTGGAAAATGGCAAAAGAGCTAAAAACACTTATGCAGGAAAAGAAAAAATAACATTGCAAAGGGGAGGATAGAGACTTGTCAGTACACACGAGTGTGCGCATGCGCCCAGCCTGCAAGTTGCATTGGGCTTGATTGATCAGCCACTCTGAAGGGTGCCATCAGAGTGGCAGATCAAGGAAGCCTAATGACCACTCTGATAGCAATGAAGCATCTGGATCCAATGGGTTAACGTAATACTACCTAGGATTGCATGTACCTATATGCCATGCCCACAGTGAATATATTTTTTAAATTGTATTTACACAGAGATGGCTTCATAAGTGTTTAGTCACCAAAGAGTTGATTACTAATCCCACAGATGTTTTCCTGATTCCTTGATTTTGTTTTATTGCTATTAGCATTGTTAATAACATTGTAATAAATATGTCAATGATGATAATATCAGCATCTGTATTATATCACTAGGAAAGAAAGAAATCCCCAAAACTCAAGGTACAGGGAAATCAGGTGATGTCAAGAAGGCTACTTTGTATCTGTGTATAGAGACATTTCACAAACCAATACTACAGTGAACCTCATATTTTTGTGGTAGCATTGGGTCATTATATCCCAGTATATTGGCCTAATATGAAAATTGTGGGCTCTTTGTTCTGGGTTTTAGAAGGACCTGAACCTGAAGGCTTCCCGACTAATAATCAGTTTGGAATTACAAATAAAGGAAATTACTTTTCTCAGTACAACTTGTATTGAATTGTGATGACCTTTGGTAGGCAGAGACTTCAGATATTGAAATAGGTGTCATTAGAATAAAAAAGAGTAGAAAAAACATGTATATTAATACAAATTAAATAAAAGGGTATGGCTCCCTTTACAGACTTTCACTGCTTATATATTTTGATTTTTTTTTATAGATTTCATTTTATTTCCTACAGAAAGAAAATGAGAAGTTATAATGCAGTTTTATTGATAGTAAATGACACAGATTACACAAATACAACCACTTATGGAAACTGTGTATTCAATTAGAAAATGGCATGGGATTTGGCACTGTTGTTGAATGGTGACATTGCAATATTTAGTGCAGCTACATTCATTTCATTTTATTTCTTGCTTATGTTTACCCTTAGTTACAGTTTCTCAGTAATGGCCAGTCATGTTGCTTTTGGTGATGTAGGAGATATGTAATAATGGGTCAGAGAGGCAAAAAAAAAGAATTTGGTATTGAACCAAAGCCTAAAATGCCTGAAAGTAGGTATTCTTTAAGTATTACTTTTATGTAAAAAGGGTTTATTTTAACAGATCAAATTGGTTTTACTTGCTAAGTGGCTATGCATTAACATTTTTTGTTAAAAGCAATTTTTAATGTCTTAATTCTATGTATGTAAAAGATACTGTAAAGAATATATGAATACTTTTTAAATTTCATCTTCTACCATATGTATTCAGTAATACAACTTTGATTTTAACGAACGTACATTGGTTCCCTTTGAATTTTTCTGTATTTCCCCACAAGTTACATCATTTGTTTTCCTTATAATTTCCTCTTTTTTTGTATATTTATTCTTTTGCTAATTTTCCCCACTGTTTTTATTTTATCTTTCAGGGACAAATCAGCACTCTACGGAAGAGAACTGGCTGAGGGAGAGAAACCATCATGGCCCTGAAATCAGTAGATAGGAGAACTGTATCTTACCACGCTGGTAATTTATTATTGTAATAAAGTATGGTAAATAGACTACTTTATTTGTACAGAATAAATTAAGTAAAATAAATTTGTTTTAAATACTGTTGGATTTATCTAATCCTTTTTCTTACTGTGTGTATTTTGATATTATTTATGTATAGAATATACAAGGTAGGCATCAGGAAGAGTGAAAAGTTTGATACTCAAAGTTTTATTCTTACTTTTCCACAGACACATCCAGACAAATCATAATAACAATACATGATATTAGTATTATTAAATATTAAGTTATTACGCACATCATCTATTTCTATCAATCTTTTTAAGCTGCACTTCAATTGCCTTTTTCAAACTTGAGCTGTGGTTGTTCACTATGTGTTGCAAGCCCTCCCGATCTTGCATAACAGCCCCCATCTTCTTGACCACGAAGAGCAGACAGTGTCCAAACTTTATTGACTTCTTGTGTGTCTCAGAAGCCTTGCCCAGGTATGTGAGGGTGGCCTCATGAGTTGCCTGGGCTTGGTGATTGGCCCTTTCACACAGCAGCTGGAAGATTTGGACCTCAATGTCACTGGTGCTGCTCTCTCTGGTTGATATTGCACTGGAAGTTAACAGTAGAAAATGAGCTAGTTAAAAACTAAATATTTTTCTTTATAAATGGAGTGAGGGAGGAGTATTACATGCAGGATATCATTAAATATTAAACATTAGTGCAATGGCAGAAAAAATGGAACTCAAATTAATGTGTAAAAAGAAAAATCTATTGTAAGTACTGATATTCATGTCAAGACAAGCTAAATACATAAGATACTGAAGATATAAGGATACATTTGAAATAAATATAAATAAAAAAAAAATGTTCCTGTACATTGGAATGGTATAACACAAACAGACAACACTGAAATAGCATATGAAATGTACACACTATTAAAAGTTGTTTCTGGATTATAAAAAACACAGTATAAAAAGACATTTCTGGATTCAAAGACGAACACACTTTGTAAAAACATTCCTGAATTATAAAATGTACATTTCTGGGTTAAAAGATATACCCAGTATGCAAAAACATTCCCAAATTATAAAATATAATCCAGAGATGTCTTTACATAATAAATATAAGATGTACCCAGTATGTAAAAATATTTCTGGATTATAAAATGCACTCGGTATAAAGAGAGAATTCTGGATTATAGATGTACCTAGTATATAAAAATTTATTTTTCGATTATAACATGTATTCAGTATGTAAAAGCATTTCTGGATTACATGTAATGTGTAAAAGATTGTACACTCACATTTTGTGGATTAGTTTTACATTATTTTGGAAGTTAAGGAAAATTACATAAATGCACAACATTTACAATATATATATATAAGATGCTAGACTAAATATAAATATACTTTGTGTACTGAACTTGAAAACAGAATAAAAAAGGGGAAAATTAAATGTGTATGGTAACAGAAACTCGTAAGGACAAAACAAAAAAAATTGTAGAGTACTTATCAGACTTCTTTATTTTCCTAACATTGATACCTTCCTCATCCCAAACCTGACGGACATGGCAAGTATATACCTGCCATGCATCCTGTGAGTTTACTTTATTAATTGTTTTTACACATAGATGGCTACACTTGTACTAAATTGCCATTAAGCCAATTATGAGTAATACTTGCCTTGACTATTTACCTTTTTACTTGATTTTTAAAAATATTTTACATTATTTATATTGCTACTACTATTGTAATTATAATGCCTATAATAAAAATAACACCATCGATATTCATTGCATTAGTATAAAAAATCTTTTTCCCACCAATCCAAGGAAAAGTGAAATCAGGTAAGGTCACAATGTCTACTAATTGACTCCTTTGTGGCTAAGCAGTAGCAGAGACAATCTCACACGCACACTCACACGCACACGCTCACGCACATGCACATGCACACGCACACGCACACGCACACGCACATGCACACGCACACACACACAAAGTAAAAAAAAAAAAAAAAAAAAAAAAAAAAAAAAAAAAAAATCCCAGCAGCATTGAGTGATCAGTGATCAGAAATTCACCGTGTCAGAGAACTTGCAAAGTGTGTGTTGAAACCTCGTAAAGCATGTTGTAGTCTAAATTGAAATAATGGAATATGTATAAGCGAACACATAGAAATGAGGTAGATCTGATGTGAAAGCATTTCTTTATATATATCTTAAGTGATGTGTCATATTGATAATCAGATTAATGTAAGTCTTGAGCAGAAAAGAATAGAATAGCACACTCTCAAAAGGGCAGATCCTCCTGCCAGCAGCCAACCATGTGTCAGTGCTTATTATCTTCGATGTCCACGAGGGTGTTGCTAGACATTCTGGAAGGGAACATACCTTGGCAGAGAACAGTACTGGTGGGTTGCAGGGAGGACTAAAATAGACTGATTTCTCCAGAACTGCTTTGTCTATCAGAAGGTGAATAGAAAGCTTATTCAGCAACTTCAAGGGGACCTACCAGTGGAACAAATTACTTCAAGAAAATCACCCTTTGCTGCTAGTAGGGTCGACTGTTTTGGGCCATTCCAAGTTTCTTTAGGGCACAAGACAAAGAAAAGATATGGATGTCTATTGACTCAGCTGCAGAGCTACATATCAAACTTCTTTACTCTCTTGATACCGACTGGAAGCCAGATCTGATGCAGTGACCAGGTTTTCAGCATGGCGTGGTATGCTTGAGAAGATTATCTCTGATAACGGCACTAATTTTGTCCTGGCCGAGAAGGAACTAAGGGAAGCATTTGCAAGCTGGGGCATAGACTGGGTTTTCCAGCCACCTGCAGCTTCACATATGGGAGGTGTATGGGAGTGGCAAATACGGTCAATCTGAAAGATCCTTTCCTTCATCATTGGTTGCCAGAAGATTGATGATGAATGCCTAGCCACACTTTTGTCTTGAATGGTCAGCCAATCACTACTGTCTCCAGTGACCCTAAAGACCTAGAGTCATTGACTGCAAATCATGTCCTAAGGTTGAGCTCTGTCGAACATGTTAACATTCATTGGCATTGTTGGAAACATGCTCAGCTTTTAGCAGATCACTTTTGGACAAGATGGAGAAAAGAGTATCTACACTCAATTTGAATATAACATTGTTGTATAGAGAGTTCCTGGAATCTTGAGGTGGATGATGTTGTCTTAGTAGTGGAACCATTGCTTCCATGCAATCGATGGACTTTGGAGAGTGGTAGAGCCTCTCCCAGGTGCTGATGGTTTTGTTCAAAAGACCAGGATCTGTACCATCAGTGCCATCGGGAAGGCAGCATTGCAGGGGGGGTGTAATGTTTCAAATTTGCCGACAAAGGGCGTGGTCATTGGGCACTGGGCATTGGTGACTTTATTAGTCACACAATAACTCTATGTTCTGTGAACCATTCGTAGAGAGAGCAGACTAATTAGCAGCAGAAATTGTCAAAATTTACCAATTAGCCAAAAAAATGCAGGTTTAAGCTTTCATTTGCCAACAGATGCTTTTTTCAGGGGGGGATGCCCCCCCCCCACCATGTCTACCAATATAGTAAAGTGAGTGCAACACTGAGTTTCATTTTAAACATAGTCAAAGGGTAACTACATATAATGAAACACTGAAACACAAATACAAAATATGTTCAGTGCATTACAATGTTGATGATAAATAAATCATATACTTGTAACAGCAATACTGGAAACAAGAAACCTTTCAAATGAATATCAAATAAAATTATTAAAGCAATATTTGATATTGAGGAATGAAAGACAAAACATAAAAAAAAAAAAAAAAAATCCCAGCAGCATTGAGTGATCAGTGATCAGAAATTCACCGTGTCAGAGAACTTGCAAAGTGTGTGTTGAAACCTCGTAAAGCATGTTGTAGTCTAAATTGAAATAATGGAATATGTATAAGCGAACACATAGAAATGAGGTAGATCTGATGTGAAAGCATTTCTTTATATATATCTTAAGTGATGTGTCATATTGATAATCAGATTAATGTAAGTCTTGAGCAGAAAAGAATAGAATAGCACACTCTCAAAAGGGCAGATCCTCCTGCCAGCAGCCAACCATGTGTCAGTGCTTATTATCTTCGATGTCCACGAGGGTGTTGCTAGACATTCTGGAAGGGAACATACCTTGGCAGAGAACAGTACTGGTGGGTTGCAGGGAGGACTAAAATAGACTGATTTCTCCAGAACGGCTTTGTCTATCAGAAGGTGAATAGAAAGCTTAATCAGCAACTTCAAGGGGACCTACCAGTGGAACAAATTACTTCAAGAAAATCACCCTTTGCTTCTAGTAGGGTCGACTGTTTTGGGCCATTCCAAGTTTCTTTAGGGCACAAGACAAAGAAAAGATATGGATGTCTATTGACTCAGCTGCAGAGCTACATATCAAACTTCTTTACTCTCTTGATACCGACTGGAAGCCAGATCTGATGCAGTGACCAGGTTTTCAGCATGGCGTGGTATGCTTGAGAAGATTATCTCTGATAACGGCACTAATTTTGTCCTGGCCGAGAAGGAACTAAGGGAAGCATTTGCAAGCTGGGGCATAGACTGGGTTTTCCAGCCACCTGCAGCTTCACATATGGGAGGTGTATGGGAGTGGCAAATACGGTCAATCTGAAAGATCCTTTCCTTCATCATTGGTTGCCAGAAGATTGATGATGAATGCCTAGCCACACTTTTGTCTTGAATGGTCAGCCAATCACTACTGTCTCCAGTGACCCTAAAGACCTAGAGTCATTGACTGCAAATCATGTCCTAAGGTTGAGCTCTGTCGAACATGTTAACATTCATTGGCATTGTTGGAAACATGCTCAGCTTTTAGCAGATCACTTTTGGACAAGATGGAGAAAAGAGTATCTACACTCAATTTGAATATAACATTGTTGTATAGAGAGTTCCTGGAATCTTGAGGTGGATGATGTTGTCTTAGTAGTGGAACCATTGCTTCTATGCAATCGATGGACTTTGGAGAGTGGTAGAGCCTCTCCCAGGTGCTGATGGTTTTGTTCAAAAGACCAGGATCTGTACCATCAGTGCCATCGGGAAGGCAGCATTGCAGGGGGGGTGTAATGTTTCAAATTTGCCGACAAAGGGCGTGGTCATTGGGCACTGGGCATTGGTGACTTTATTAGTCACACAATAACTCTATGTTCTGTGAACCATTCGTAGAGAGAGCAGACTAATTAGCAGCAGAAATTGTCAAAATTTACCAATTAGCCAAAAAAATGCAGGTTTAAGCTTTCATTTGCCAACAGATGCTTTTTTCAGGGGGGGATGCCCCCCCCCCACCATGTCTACCAATATAGTAAAGTGAGTGCAACACTGAGTTTCATTTTAAACATAGTCAAAGGGTAACTACATATAATGAAACACTGAAACACAAATACAAAATATGTTCAGTGCATTACAATGTTGATGATAAATAAATCATATACTTGTAACAGCAATACTGGAAACAAGAAACCTTTCAAATGAATATCAAATAAAATTATTAAAGCAATATTTGATATTGAGGAATGAAAGACAAAACATAAAAAAAAAAAAAAATAAAAAAAAAAAAAAAAAAAAACAAAAAAAAAAAAAAAAATAAAAAAAAAAAAAAATAAAAAAAAAAAAAAAAAAAAAAAAAAAATCCCAGCAGCATTGAGTGATCAGTGATCAGAAATTCACCGTGTCAGAGAACTTGCAAAGTGTGTGTTGAAACCTCGTAAAGCATGTTGTAGTCTAAATTGAAATAATGGAATATGTATAAGCGAACACATAGAAATGAGGTAGATCTGATGTGAAAGCATTTCTTTATATATATCTTAAGTGATGTGTCATATTGATAATCAGATTAATGTAAGTCTTGAGCAGAAAAGAATAGAATAGCACACTCTCAAAAGGGCAGATCCTCCTGCCAGCAGCCAACCATGTGTCAGTGCTTATTATCTTCGATGTCCACGAGGGTGTTGCTAGACATTCTGGAAGGGAACATACCTTGGCAGAGAACAGTACTGGTGGGTTGCAGGGAGGACTAAAATAGACTGATTTCTCCAGAACTGCTTTGTCTATCAGAAGGTGAATAGAAAGCTTAATTCAGCAACTTCAAGGGGACCTACCAGTGGAACAAATTACTTCAAGAAAATCACCCTTTGCTGCTAGTAGGGTCGACTGTTTTGGGCCATTCCAAGTTTCTTTAGGGCACAAGACAAAGAAAAGATATGGATGTCTATTGACTCAGCTGCAGAGCTACATATCAAACTTCTTTACTCTCTTGATACCGACTGGAAGCCAGATCTGATGCAGTGACCAGGTTTTCAGCATGGCGTGGTATGCTTGAGAAGATTATCTCTGATAACGGCACTAATTTTGTCCTGGCCGAGAAGGAACTAAGGGAAGCATTTGCAAGCTGGGGCATAGACTGGGTTTTCCAGCCACCTGCAGCTTCACATATGGGAGGTGTATGGGAGTGGCAAATACGGTCAATCTGAAAGATCCTTTCCTTCATCATTGGTTGCCAGAAGATTGATGATGAATGCCTAGCCACACTTTTGTCTTGAATGGTCAGCCAATCACTACTGTCTCCAGTGACCCTAAAGACCTAGAGTCATTGACTGCAAATCATGTCCTAAGGTTGAGCTCTGTCGAACATGTTAACATTCATTGGCATTGTTGGAAACATGCTCAGCTTTTAGCAGATCACTTTTGGACAAGATGGAGAAAAGAGTATCTACACTCAATTTGAATATAACATTGTTGTATAGAGAGTTCCTGGAATCTTGAGGTGGATGATGTTGTCTTAGTAGTGGAACCATTGCTTCCATGCAATCGATGGACTTTGGAGAGTGGTAGAGCCTCTCCCAGGTGCTGATGGTTTTGTTCAAAAGACCAGGATCTGTACCATCAGTGCCATCGGGAAGGCAGCATTGCAGGGGGGGTGTAATGTTTCAAATTTGCCGACAAAGGGCGTGGTCATTGGGCACTGGGCATTGGTGACTTTATTAGTCACACAATAACTCTATGTTCTGTGAACCATTCGTAGAGAGAGCAGACTAATTAGCAGCAGAAATTGTCAAAATTTACCAATTAGCCAAAAAAATGCAGGTTTAAGCTTTCATTTGCCAACAGATGCTTTTTTCAGGGGGGGATGCCCCCCCCCCCACCATGTCTACCAATATAGTAAAGTGAGTGCAACACTGAGTTTCATTTTAAACATAGTCAAAGGGTAACTACATATAATGAAACACTGAAACACAAATACAAAATATGTTCAGTGCATTACAATGTTGATGATAAATAAATCATATACTTGTAACAGCAATACTGGAAACAAGAAACCTTTCAAATGAATATCAAATAAAATTATTAAAGCAATATTTGATATTGAGGAATGAAAGACAAAACATAAAAAAAAAAAAAAAAAAAAAAAAAAAAAAAAAAAAAAAAAAAAAAAAAAAAAAAAATATACACAACACAAATAAATGAAACAAATAAAACATACGGACACACACACACTGGAAATTTGGAAGAAATTACTATAGAACACAATTTTACAGTTACAGCCCAAAGCATGTTTAGTTTAGTGTGGTTGTAGGTAAACGCACAGTAAGTAAAAGTACTCTTATTAAGAAGATGAAATGGAGTGTTCTTAGTCAGTGTCTAGCCGTTGAGTGGCGATGCTGGTTTGGATTCCACTGCTTTAACCTAAAAGCACTGTCAAAATGGGGTGTCCACTATAGCATTGTTTTGGTAAATGTCTCTGCATATAAATGGCTCCACAAGTGCTTAGCCACAAAGAAGTCAATTAGTAGACCTTGTGACCTTACCTGATTTTTCCTTTCCTTGAGTGTCTAGGATTTTTTTTGTTCTTTTCTGTTTTTCTTAACTAATGTTATCAGTATCAATGCTGTTATTATTACTATAGACACTTTAATTATTATAGTGTTATTGACATTATTATCAGAAATATAAGATACCAGAAAATATTTCCAAAAATTAAGGAAAAGGTTAACTGGCTCATTGGTGACTCAGTACTTGTGGAGCCATTTAAGTGTAAAGACTATTAATAAAATAAATTAAATGCGTATAGCATGTCTTTACATGCCATCCCCGGCAGCTTCCGGTTAAGTGTCTTTACACATAGTTGGCTCCACAAGTACTTAATTACTAATGAGCCAATTACTTGAGCTCCTTAGCTTACTGTTTACCTTTTTCCTTGATTTTTGGAAATATTTTCTTTTTCCTTATACTGTTATTAATAATGTCCATAACATTATAATAATCATAATGTCTAGAATAACTGTAACAGCATTGGTACTGATATCACTAAAATAAATACGTTTCCCCAAAAACTCCAGGGAAGGTGAAATCATGTCTGCTCACAAGGTCTACTAATTGACTCCTTGTTGGGTAAGCACTACACTTTCCTAGTGGCAATGAAAAGAGGAAAAAGAAAAGAAAAGAAAAGAAAAGAAAAGAAAAAACTAACCTTAACAGCTGCGTAACTAAAGATGGCGAACATTTTTGTATTAACTGAGCTATGGCATCCCTGTGTTGCTCTTGCATGTCGGGGCAATGTTGCAAAAGAGGAACGAGAGCCTGCGTCAAGGTTGTAGAGGGATGCCATCTCATGAAGTCTGTCATTGCATCACAGGTTGATGTCGCCAGTTTGCTCTTTAGTTGATACAGCTGTTTGGGGAAATTATTTGGGCTAAGAATATGTCCCTTTAGTGAAATGCACTCAGATACTGGAATAAAATGTTGGCAATATTGGATTATCAACATCATCATCATCACTATTATTATTATCATTATTATAAATTATGTCATTACTAGTATTATGACTTTTGTCATAATCATTACTCTTATTTTCCTTACTGAGATTATGAATATTTTAATTATCATAATTTACATTAATCTGTTAGATGAATT